AATGGTAGGAGGAACGACAGAAGTGACACACCGTCCACCTTCGACCGTCCTGCCGGTCGAAGTAGTCTTGAAGAAGTTGCAGCTTGTCGCCGGGAACGACGGGACGAACGGTCGGACTAACCTCCTGCCGGAGGAGGTTCCCTGGCCAGGAACATGTCTTCGAGCGGAGGACTCGGTACTGCTTGTGGTCCCCGGTCAGCTTCCGTGTGACCTTTGAGTGGACCCTGGTCCTGTGGACTTGGACTTCTGTGTGTTCCCTGTCCAATGGATGTGGTTCGAAGGTGACCGGGACACAAGACTGACTGTCACAAGTGGTCGACCTCAGACTGGACCTTCCACTCCAAACACTTTCTAGACTTGTGTGGACTACTAATGTCCTTGTAGTGACTTCTACACAAGGTGTACGTAAGTCTTACACACAACATTTTGTGTAAAAAGTAATTTAATTGTTTTTAGAGATCAGTCGCTCCTTAGATCTGACCATGTTCTTGTGTTAGGAAAGGATGTGTGTCTCCGTAATAAATAATAAATACAGACAACACCTTTCTACTAACCTACGTTATGGATTCCACCTTTCTGTACCTTAGTTTGTGGTTACTTTACTTATATATAAAATTACACAATTTTATTACAAACAGTACAATATCCTAATGGACATACTTCTGAGTCAACACACAAATCCACTCTTTCCTAAGGGTCCTCGGACCTTGTTTGTTTCAATAAAATTTATCTTTAAGTTCAATTTCAAATCGAAGTCTTGGTTTGGTGTTAAGGTGGTTGTATAAGTCTTGGTAAACCCTTTTTTAACGTTTAACTCAGACCTAGTAGACTCAAGTAGCAGTAAAGTTTGCCCTATAATTGCCCAATCTGTACAATGTCGAAGCATGTTAACAAATACACTTATATAATGATTAGCACTTTATACTATTCACTAGCGTTCAAGAGTTATAAAGCAGCTTTATTAAACTACACTGAACAAAAATATAAATGCAACACTTTTTTTTTTGCTCCCATTTTTCATGAGATGAACTTAAAGATCTAAAACATTTTCTACATACACAAAATAACCATTTCTCTCAAATATTGTTCACAAATCTGAAAAAATCTGTGACAGTGAGCACTTCTCCTTTGCCCAGATAATCCATCCCACCTCACAGGTGTGGCATATCAAGATGCTGATTAGACAGCATGATTATTGCCTTAGGCTGGCCACAATAAAAGGCCACTCTGAAACGTGCGGTTTTGTTTTATTGGGGGGGTCTGTTGGGGTCCGAAAACCAGTCAGTATCTGGTGTGAGGGTTAGGATTAGGGTTCGGGTAATGTTGTGAATCGAGTGGCCCATGGTGGTGGTGGGGTTATGGTATGGGCAGGCGTATGTTATGGACGACGAACACAGGCCACTCGATTCACAACATTACCCGAACCCTAACCCTAACCCTAACCCTCACACCAGATACTGACTGGTTTTCGGACCCCCCCAATAAAGCAAAAATGCACGTTTCAGAGTGGCCTTTCATTGTGGCCAGCCTAAGGCACACCTGTGCAATAATCATGCTGTCTAATCAGCATCTTGATATGCCACACCTGTGAGGTGGGATGGATTATCTCGGCAAAGGAGAAGTGCTCACTATCACAGATTTGTGAACAATATTTGAGAGAAATAGTTATTTTGTGTATATAGAAAATGTTTTAGATCTTTGAGTTCATCTCATGAAAAATGGGAGCAAAAACAAAAGTGTTGCGTTTATATTTTTGTTCAGTGTACTTTTCTTGTCTCTTATTTTTCTTTGTGTAATGCAAATACAAAACTATTTCTCAAACTAACATGCAATGAGTAATGTGTGCTTCATCATACATGTTTATGGTCTGTTGATTGATAATAAAATGTTTTAGTCCGATGCTGGCCTGTCCCACACACTATTATAAGTGTAACCCTGCCTCCTGTGCACAAACATTATGACAATAATTGATAATAATTACTAGCCATGCACAGCAAAAAGCCAAATAAAACCACATTAAATCAAGAATCCTACATGTGACTCATCCCTGAGAAAAACTGGCACGCTCGCAACCTTGAACGCATCCTAATTTACCATCCCATTCCTCAAGAGTTCTCCCTGACATACTGAATTATAAGGGGGCATATTCGTATGCCTGATTGGCCTTAAGCCGTGTTTCGGGGGCGTTGTGAGTACAACACACAGACAGCGAATCGGCTTGGTAGCGTAGTAGCGTATGTAAATGCACTCTCCTATGACTCCAGCCCACCACAAGGCATGTAGCCGAGAGTGGGAGTCAAGGCTGATTGTGTCGAGGGTACTTCTAGATAGAGATAGAACACCCACTACTGCAGCGGTCTCCAGCGGAGGAAGAAGTTATACGAGGGTTGCTTGTTAGGACACGCTTGCCTTGGAATGCAGGGACCAAGGGCCCCCCGAATGGAGAGAAGAGAGAAAAGAGAGGAAGAAAGAGGGAGGGAGAGAAAGGTTAGATCAGGAACACATCTACTGTCAACAAATTTGAGGCTAATTTAGAATGAAGCTTCACCTCTTTCTTTGGCAGGGGCTTGCAGCTCCGTTTTTTTTCGGTGAGCTGCAAGGGTGCTATCTGGCCTGTCACCTCGAATTTCTCTCCCCAGCCAAACCGGAGGAATGGAAAGCTCGCTGCTTCCTCCTCCATCGAAGGCTGGGTTTTCTATGCCAACCAGAGTGGCGCTCTCGTCTCTCTCTGACAAAATAAGTAGAAACATAAATACAAATACAAACACTGACATGAAGGGGAAATACAACAGTTAGGTCAAAGCGACTTCTAAAAAAACATTTAAAGGAAACAAAATGCTTCTATTGGGGAATTTTCTGCGCCTAAATGTTCAAGCGCATCCTCTTGGAATGACACTAAAACACAATTAGGTTAAAATTAAATCAGAATCTTGCAAAGGAGGAGGAAAAAAAGGAGAAGAAGAAGAAATGATTAAAATAATTACAAATTGCGCCCTGACAAGCAAGAGCAAAATTTAGCCCAGAGCCATTTGCCTGTAATTAGTTAATTAATCCTTACACAAATTATGAGCAATAACTCATCAAGCAGGACTCACCCATCAGAAATTCAGCCGACTTGGATTTCTTCTGCTTAGGTTGCTGCAGAGCCTTCTGCTGTAACTTCTGGAGGGAAATTGTTAAATGAATAAATTAGCTGCAGAATGAAGATCATCATTTATGATCCGCAACTAACGCAGTATTTTAAATATGGGACGACACTAAAATGTCATTTAATTTACATCGCCGCTAAAGGGGTCAAGCACTAATTGAACAACAGGAGTGGAAAAGAATTTAATCATAAATAGATAAGAAAAGTTGACGTGAATGTGTAATGAAGGTCACATTAAAATACTTCCTCCTTGCCTGCTTTTTTTTTTTTTTGTACATGAATGGGCAACAACAACTCTCTCCTGGAAAATGATGCATTTGTAAATGAGTATGGAGATCCAGTCCTACTTTCATCCACATGGAGTCAACTTAAAAAATCTCAAAGGAGCGAAAAGAAAATGTCTTTAAATAACACTATGTCAGAGAATTTTCAATACAGTTATTTAATGTTTATCCCTCTATTTATCTGTCTATATGACATGCCATGTCAACACTATTTCTACTTGTAGGTGGTCTACATTGTCATGAAATGGAAAGAAAAAGGGAAAAATGTATGTAAGCAAGCATGTCTTCCTTTGAAATCAAGAGGATGTGGAACAAACTCCGCAGCCCCACATTTGTCTCATTTCTGCGGACAAGCAGAACAATGAGAAAGCTGAGGTAAAGGCGTAAGTAGTTGTTTTTGTTATGGATATGTTTACATAAGAATGCAGCATTTAAAAGGAGCTCTGTAGCTCAAAGCGTATGGAGCTTCTTAAAGCATCATTTTATGCAGATTTCAATGATGAACTGCGCTCATGCCCATGAACAGCATGTATTTGTATACAATATTTAATTTCAAAGGCAAAATCAAGGGGCAGAATGGGTGGGGGGGCTTATTTCAACTCTAAATGACAGAGCAATTAAAATAGAGAAGGACTACTTCCAGACCAATCTGGAAAGAGGAGTTTTTGTAAATCTGTTTTTACATTCAACAAGCCCTACAGCAAGACATTCATTTATACTACTGAGATTAATGCTTATCTAATTGTAACTTATTTAAAAACCATTTTCATTTCGACTGGGTACCAATCAGTTTTTCTGAGTTTCACATACTGTGGAGTATGAGACTCAGTGGTGTTTTCTTTTCTTATTTTCATGTCATCAGACCCACCTTTCGGAAAGACAAATATTGTTGGGAAGCTTATGTGAAAACAAATCAGATCATTTTTTTTTTTTTAAAGCAAACAATCATCATTTGCTCTGTGTTACACCAGGCCAGTTTTAAACTATAGCTGCCATTTAAATAAGACATTTGACATTTGCTTTCATTATATGGTATTAAAAAGTAAATTGTTATTGGAGCCTTGCAAACTATTCTGAAAACTAAAATAAATTAATTGCATTTTTTTCTTGATACTGTAAGAATGTTTTTCAGTCATTTCACAAACCATACTGCCTACATTATTGTATGAGTTCATTATTGTTTGCCAAAAGTAATTAATCATCAAATTAAAACAATGAATCAGGATAACGCTCTTTATTTCACAAATAATTGTTTTGCCCTCAGGGCTAAAGGCACATTGGGGGATCAAAGGAGAAATCACATTACATTTAATCCTATACAAATGCATTTTGTTTATCAATAATTAATGCAAATAAATATCTAATATATCATCTTCCTCTTGTATATTAATACTTAAACATAATCCGCATTATAATACGTTTTGGAGACTTTCGATTTTTCTTTAAAAGTTTCAATTGTGCTTTTATTCTTTCTGTTATGTCATGTTCATATTAGTACATACTTTAGCTGTAGGCACAGTGTTGTTTTGGTGCTATTTCTCACTATGCAAAGTAAATTAGCTCCATGTCCTGCAAATGTCAATAGGTCCTATGATTACTTATTTATTCTTGCCTTTAGTGATAAAACTAGTAAACACACAAGGGAGAGTACGCAGAAGGAGTACAGTACACACACCCCAGGCCTACATCTTTGGGTCATTGTCACTAAAAATCTAATCCACACAGCGCCATGTGAGCATCTCTGTCTGCAGAGCTAAGGAAGAATGCCTGCTTCTCATCCCCTTCCTTAGACCCCACTGACATTGACAGCATGCTCCTTGTAATACAAGGACTGTTGTTTAATGTGCCATAACCGGATGGAACATGCAGATGTTGCATTTCTAAAACAATAAACAACAATTCATTCCTGAGGAGAAATCGTGGAATAAACTGAAAGTAGGGATTGCTCTTCTATAATAGTGGGATAGCCGCAGAGTGAACTGGTCCAGAGCTAGCAAACATTTACATTTCCCTGTCATAAATATGTTAAATGTACAGTGCTGCATCAAAATCATATGCCAAGAAAGTTGGGTGTATTACAACATGCATATACAGTACCAAAACAATAGCCCCTGAGTTTGTTCTCTTGTCATCTGAAGGCATCTAGGCATGCCCCCTTAAGCCATCACACGTTCCCTGTGCAGCACAAACTGCTTACTGTGCAGTCAACATGAGAAAAGAATCATTTATAACTGTTGACAAAAAAAATCCATGACTTCCTCTCCCTTCTTTCTTTTTTTTTCTTTTTTTGTAAATGTGATTGTTGTCAAAAGGAATTGAGCACAACAATGCCTTGTTCAGTTCTTGTTGCATTCAAAGGCATAGCTAGAAGGGCTTGGGGAAGACCGCTCGCTGCTAGGGGCTGGTGGGCACAGACCAGCTAGAAAGTGAATTTTGCATACTGTACGGATCATCGCCCAGTTCAGCCCAGTCACATTGAATCTGCGTTCAACCAATTGTGCTTCATGAAACCGTCAACCCTCATTTACGTCTGCCTGTTTTCTTCCCCACGCAGCTGTAAACAAGGCCCGGCTTTGAGCTGTGTCTCTGTCCCTGAGCGCAGACGGGAAAAACCTCGTCTTCACAGAGATACTTGAAGCTACCGTCTCTAGACAAGCACCCTGTGTGCTAGGCAGAGGAGTCAAGGAGTCAAGGACAAGGGCGTATCTAGAAATGACAAGAGTTTTAAGAGCTTTAATAACAATAGAGATCCCTGCACGTCTTTTGTTTTTCCTTCTTATTTTGAGCTTTAATGGTCCCTAGTATGAGGGCTGTGTCGTGAGTTCCTTAGAGTGGCATTGATCAGAATTCAAATGAAAAAATAAAGTGAAAAAAAATGTATCTCCTTTAAATATAAATATATAAGTCTGAATATAAGTCATAATTTATTTTTAATAAAATGATACCGTAATAAAAATGTGGCCTTGCTGAATCAATAACCACATCAAAAGTGATTTTGTTTTCATGTTTATAAAGTATTTTTTTTATCTATCAGCGTAATAAAATTCTATGAAATGTCATAAGAACAATGATAACGTCTTCAAAGCTTATTTATTTAAATCACGACAGATAAGGTTAGCATTTTGTTTCAAAGGCACACAAAGCCAAACCCGTAAAACGTGAAAGCTTAATTTATAGAGCAGAATTATATGTGCACGGTAATTGTGACCCAACAAACAGCCTCTTATTAAACAACAAGCGCGTCAGTTGGTGTAGACAGAAAACATAATTAGTATTCAAGCTTAATTAATCTACGCTGGCCCCCTTTAAGTGAATTAGTCAATTATTTATGCATGTGTGCTCCTTTGATGCTTACAGATTATGTATGTTGCTGGGAAAAAAACCTTGAAAAATTACTTTGAAAACTTTCCACCATAAAATGTCACTACAAGCTTAGAAATATCAGTGAATACCATGAATGCTGAATGAAATAAAGTGTGAAACTTCAGCAAATTTTTTGACAAATGCCAGATATGTCAGTGCCAGAGAAGCAAAACATTGTGATTCATTGTCCGAAATCCGGAGCAAAAGATAAAATAAATTAGCCAAATATGTACTTTTTGTGTGCCCTAATCCGTGGAATGGAAGTCTAACGCAGGTCGGATCAAGGTCTTTCCTGGGATCATGGGAACTCCTTTGGATTTTCAACAGCCTTTTTGTTTTTACCCTTGAGAAACAGGCACTGGCCTCTGCACCCCTCAATCCCCCATTGAGATCCCAGAGGCAGCGCGGAGGAATGCTAAATGTCAATGGTCAGCCTGCGCCAGCACCTTCAGTGAGAGAGATGGAGGTACAAGGCCTGACCTTGTTGTGTTGCGCCTGCTACGAGGGGCCAGAAGTGAAACTGTACTCACACTGCTAAAGGTGTCCATCTCCGCCAAAGATCATCGCTGGCTGACCCTGACCTCTGAACAATGGCGAGGCCTGTGAAACAGAAAGTGTGAAACATGCGGTGAGGAATGTGCCAAAACAAATCAATGTGAAGTGCACGTAAGGAGAATGTGTTATTGACATAACACTTGCCTGATAATTGAAAGTTTGCTGATGTTTGCAAAGGAGCTCTTCTTATTTTGCAGCTCTAAATCCTTCATGCCATGCAGCGTTACTCTGTCCCTCCCCTGCTTGTGTGTTTAAACCTGTTATCTCTGCAATGCATCTCGCAGAATAAAAAGGACAATAAACCCCATTTATTATCACAGATAACAAATTATTTGCCCTGATTATTCAAATAGTTTATTCATTTACATCTGGTACAATATCATTTGGTGTTTTTATCGCCTTTTCCTATGGTAATTCACATGGCTCGCACAAGTTTCTGCTGAAATAGCAAAACAAACCCCAGGCAAAATGTGAAAGATTATCCCATACCATGCGAGCTAGGATGAAATGCTATACTTTTTCACACTGAACACTGCTCCACTGGGTGTGATTGAAAAACATGTAAAGCTATTGAATCTGTGGTTTGTATATGTGAGGGGAAAATGACTGTTGTAACAAGTGGGCCAGTGTTTTTGTAATTGTTTCAAATTACACTCTGCGTAATAACTCAGTGAAAGCAGAGCCAGTGTGCGGTCCGTACACATTAACTAGTCAAAGACCACAGGATATCCATGCACCTTATCGCGGCCCAGAAAAAAACCTGATTGTGTAAACAACTGTGGAGAAAAAACTCCTTCGCTGTGTTTCCAGCTGTGTCTATTTGTGTCCAATAACGCTTATCAGCAGCTACACAAAGGAAGGATAATACTTTTAGATAAAGAGGTACTTTGCAGCCTTTCCTTTACATGTGTATTTTATTGAATTAAATACAGCCTGTTTTAAATTTGCTTATGTGTTTCTCTGGGTAATTAATAGGGATGTGCATGTGAATGTTTTATACAGGCTGTAAATTGTGTTGCTGCTATATTAGTTGTTAAAAGTGCATAAATCCTGCCAAATACTGGCTCCCTAACCAATAAGATCTCCAACTTTATTATTAACCATATACATGACTGACTCACTTTTCTGCTTAAGGTTCAGGCTCTCTGTCAAAATGT